TCGACGCTTTGTTTGAGAGCTGATACTCATATTCATTATATACACGTGCAATTGCGGTGTTTCCTTGTAAGGGTGGTAGCGGTGGTGGTGGTGGTGGTGGTGGCGGCGGCGGTGGTGGTGGTGGTGGGGGCGGCGGCGGCGGCGGTGGCGGTGGTGGTGGTGATGGCGGCGGTGGCGGCGGCAAGGCCTTACAGCTTTGAGAGGATTCCGCCCCCAAGCCTCAAACCTCTTGAGCCCTCAACCTGTTGAAGCCATCACTTTTTAGAACAGTTATAGGCCGAGGAAAAACTCTGACAGAACTCCCTAAACCCTAGACACCCTAAACCCCTATCCTAAACCCCAAACCCAGCAACCCCCAAATCGTTTATGAGTCCTCACAAACACCCGAAAAGGCCCCGAGTAACTTAAAGACTTAAAGCTATCTCCAACAGCCCCATTTCGCCTCGATGCGCTCGAGGAGTTCTTCCTGGGAGCCGCTGATGCGCTTCAGGCCAAGGCCAGCGCAGATGGCTTTGAGCCCTGGCGGACTTTGGGCCGTGGGCGATTCATATCCTTCGATCCTCTTAAACTCTGGAAAAGGGGGGCATGGCAGAGCCTGTGGACCCCAGTTGAGGCGGTTTACTAAGGCAAGTTGATTTGTTGCATGTTATTGGGGGGGAGGAGAGATATGCTGCATTAGGCTTCAGCGAAGTTTCGTCAATGCTGGTTGCAGTCGTGTTGTGTTGTGACTTTCGAGAGTGGGTGGGCACATGGCGTGCCAAGAAAGCTTGACGACCAACCCGTGGGTGAGGGTGGGGTAAGCACATATAGACCTGGAAGTCAAAAACTTCAAACCCTAAACCCTAAACCCTAAACCCTAAACCCCACCCAGAAGCCGAAACTTCTGCAGGCCTTTCTCGCTTTCCTCTTGCAGCATCCGCTCGCGGACAGCTGGCTCCGAGGAGCGCAATCGCAGCAGGAGCTCCGTCATGGCCTGACCGGCTGCGAGAGTTTAGGGTTTAGGGTTTAGGTTTTAGGGTTCATTACTCCGACTCTCTACACCGTCGAACTGGATCAGGGTTTGGAACTTTGGGTTCAGGGTGGACCTTATAATTGCTAATTCTAAACCGCGCAAGAAATGGGAGTTTCCAAAAATTGCGGGTACCTTATTTTGGGGTCCTTCTAATAGGGATCCTACTGTTTAGGGTACCATATTAGGGTCCCCTATTTTCGGAAACCCCCAAATATCCACAGCAGCTCCCTAAACCCTAAACCCCTAAACCCTAAACCCTAAACCCTAAACCCTAAACCCTAAACCCTAAACCGGCCGAGTCGCCCCAAGGGAATCGGCTCCCGCAGCCGCCCCGCGAGGGCCGCGGATGGAGGGGCTTTGCCTCAGGCCTCGCCGGCAGCTAGGTTGTTTAGGGTTTAGGGTTTAGGGTTTAGGGTTTAGGGTTTGGGGTTTAGGGTTTAGGGTTTAGGGTTTGGGGTTTGGGGTTTGGGGTTTGGGGTTTGGGGTTTAGGTTTCCCAGAATGTCTAGAAACATGAAACTACCATACCTAAGGATCCTAAGAACACGAGCATTAAACGAAGCTTTATGTGAAGCACTCGTTTATAAAACATAAGGAGCACAGTAACGCCGACTTCGGATTCTTGGGTCTGGGTTTTTTCAGGGTCTAGGGAGTCTAGGATGTCTTTTGGTGTTGCGAGTTCTAGATCTGTTGTGCTTATAATCCTCTACAAAACCCTGCACAAACCATCGAAAACTCTTTTCTACAAAACCGGATTATATAAAATCCGTACAACAGGGGTGCCTATGATGAGGTTTCGTAGGCCTGACGCAAACGCCGTGGCTGCCACGCCCAAGGGGATGGCGCCAAAGCTCCTGGCACCGGAACCGGAAGCCTAAACCCTACAGTACGGCCCCCTCAAACACGGAAACCCCAGCCGAAATCCTGTCTCAAGGAGGAAAGATTTCAGTCCGGTGTGAGTTCATGAAGACCAGCTGCAGCTTTACAAGTGGAATGACACCGCTTCCCCGCACCCCATCATGATGGCTTCCTGTGTCCTACGCGAACTTTCCGCATGCAGCGGAAATTTGCAGGGCCGGGTTTTCTGAAACAGGCCCCCCTTGAAATCTGAACCAGGTCCTGCATCTCTTCTGCATCGACCATGCTGGGACAGCGCCCTGGGCATCCGAGCTTTGCACAGGGGAAGAAGGCGGTTCGTATGAAAGCTGGCCTGTTCAGGGTTTCGGGTTCGCCGTTTGCACAGGCACTGATGGCTTATCTGTGGCTAACTTCTACTCAATACTGAAACGATTCGCTTAGCGGACACATTGTCCACGAACCAGGCCCAGTGAAACATTCTCACTGCAGGTCGGTGGGTAAAAAAAGGAGATGGGTGTCTGCCAAGTCCTAATCCTCTGTGTTCTTAGCGGTTTTCGAACTCGATCTATCCAGATCCGTGTCTATGCTGAGGAACCGAAATAGTACATATCTCAAACAAGCTCGCTTGAACATCTTGCTCATGTCTGCAGTCTGACTCAAAGGAAGGATGCAGCAAAACTGGAAGGCCAAGCTCTTGAGCCTCTCCTCGGCCCCCAGGATCAACAGGTTTAGGGTTTAGGGCCAGTTTAGGGTTTAGGGTTTAGGGTTTTAGGGGGTTTAGGGTTTAGGGTTTAGGGTTTAGGGGTTTAGGGCCCATCAGACCGTGAACCAGACGCCCCAAACCTTAAAGGCCAACCCTAAGACTATTGGCCGCCGCCCCTCACCCCAAGTCCCAAACCGCAGACCCCAACCGTCACCCCCAAAAAACCAAAGCCAAGCCGTGACTGCATGATTCCATAATACATCGTAAAAAGTTAGTAGAGCACATCATAGTAGATCATAGTATGCTCAATTAGGTTATGCTGTTCTAGTACATTATAAAAGTGGCATGGTGGACTATAGTATATTAATGTATATCATCAAATGTTGTACTGCCTTCTAATAGAGTATGAGACGTGGTTTTATACCATACTATACTATACCATGTTGTAAACGTAACATATTATCTCTATTATATACACATACATGTGTATATATATATATATATATATATATATGCATATTCATGTTCGCAGAAACATGTACCCTAAACCCTAAACCCTAATCTAGAAGTCTCCAAGGGCCCGGCCCCAGCCGGCGTCGTTGGCTGACCAGGTCCCGGCAGGGGAATCGGTCGGAGCATGTCCGACTTTGCTTTGGACTTATTTTCGTTTGTTGGGTTTTAGGGTTTTGGGTTTAGGGTTTAGGGCTTGGGGTTTGGGGCAATTTAGGGTATGTTGTGAGTGAGAGAGGGCTTCGGTTTAGGGACTTTCATGAAGCCGCAAGGGCTTTTGGGGGCTCCGGACAAGGGGCTTTGTTTGTTAGGGTCGTTGTGCTTGCAATGTGTATCTCTCAAAGACATGAAGAGGCTTCAGCCTTGTGGCATTCTTGCGACTTCCAGGCTTGCGTTTAGGAGCGATCTGCCGCGAGCTGGCCTTGGGCAGAGGCTTGAGACATGTGGACTGGAGGGCTTGGAGATAAAGCAGTCGGCTGGCTCCTGAGCCATACGGCCTAAACCCACCAAATTCATGAACGGCCTGCTGGAAGGCATGTGAAGCCGGTGGTTGCATGTAGGATCGATGCGCTCCTAGATCGCGGGTGCCTGGTAGGGTAACAACTTGGCTGTTTCATCTGGATCCCGAAACCCTAAATCCTGAACTCCAAACCCCAAATCCTAAACTCTGAGCCCTAAATCCTAAACTCTAGACCCCAAATCCTAAACTCTGAGCCCGAAATCCTAAACTCTAGACCCTATGAACACTAAAGCCCTAAAACCTCTGAAGCAGCCCTTCGTCAGATCCGGCCCGAGTCTACTCTTCGACAGCCCGGGGCTCAGCAGACCTCCCCCGTAGGGCTCCTGAAAGGGTTTAGGGTTTAGGGTTTAGGGTTTAGGGTTTAGGGTTTAGGGTACCCTTTCAGGATTTCTTTGTGTAAGGCTTCAAAGGTTACTTTAGGGCTCTAGGGGCCAGGGTTTTTGGGGGTTTAGGAGAGTCTTGGGTTCAGGGGCTTTGTTTGCAGGGTTTCGGACATCTTGATTGATAATCTACCTGGAGGAACAAGAGGTTCAGGCTTAACTCAGGACTGGCAGCTGTCCATCACTAGCTCAGAATTCCGGGTCACGAACCCTCGAAGTCTAACCCCAGCCTAGCCCAAGCAACAGAAAATCTAAACATGCCAACACTCTGTTTTGGCGTTGCTGCTTAGATCTGTCGGGAAGCAGGCCCGGTAGCAGCAAGGGTTGGAAGCTCAAAGCTTTCGAGATTCGAAGATGAAGACAACTGGACCGAGCGTATGGGCTTGTGGAATCAGTCTTGGCTCAAGTCTTGGGGCTGCCAGTGTGGGATTTGGGGATATTGGGCTAATTCCCGGGCTCCTTGTGGGTTCCTTGCTGCCTGCAGGGCCCTGCCTCTCCGGTGAAACCCGCAAGTTCGCACGCACGCGCACGCGTGCGATCGCGCGCCGCAACTCTTCGAAGCGATTCGGGCGTCGGATCGCGCTATTACCAAGATTCTAGTAGAAGGATGTCCACCTTTATGCTCCATAGCATTCATGTCTGAATCCTTCAGAATACGTACATGACTTATTTATGCCCTGACCCCAACAGTGGAGCTTGAGCCATAAGTCACGAGCCCCACCCTCGTAGCAGGGTGCATATGCATATGCAGATTTATCATTATCGTTACATATTATGTGTATACACAAATATACATGTAC